CTCTTTATCTGGGCTAACATTTGAGAAAGGATGGGGGAAGCCTATTCTCGGAGTCGCAAGCACACTATGAGGCTAGAGTGTGGGGTCTTGAACAAAGGCAGCGTTTGCTTTTGAAAACTGCAACATCAAAGTCCAAAATGGTGGCCTAATTAATGAGTAGCTGGAGATGCAGGTTGGCTGGTTTGGCAAGAAAATACTCATTCCATCCCTGGTGCCAGTCCATCCCCTCAAGGTTCGGGAGATGATGCAGAAAGCCTGGTTAAGTTAGACTGCCCTTCCAGATGGAAAGTTTCTCTAGATTTGCTCTGTGACCAATTTTATCACAAGAAGATCTAGTATCTTGTTTTCAGAAACAAACCAAGAAAGCCTGGGTTGGGGTGTAGCTCGGTGGTAGAGCATGCCCTGAGCATGTCAGAGCTCTGGGTTGGACCAGAGCACGAAACCAATCAAAATGAACCCAACAAGAAAGCCTGTTGGCGTCTGTGGCACCGGGCAGCTCTTTGAGGGGGTTTATTTAGGGGGTAGAGTGCTTGAAAGAACATCAAATACTAAAAACAATCCCCTCTCTCAGTAATTCTGTTATTTCAAAGGGCCACCATTCTTCTGAGAGAATGAGCTCCAAGGGTAAGATGAAGACAAAAACTAACACAAATATGTGAAATTTCCATAAATGCGTTGCCCGGGGTGTCTGCCTCACACCTCGAATGCTACCCACTTACTCAAGCCCGTCTCCTTTCATGTCCAAGCCACCTGCTTGCAACGTCATGTTGCAATGACCAGCTCAAAAAGTAGCTTTTTGAGAAAGCTCACCTACCTGAGGCAAAACTCCAGGGGAGGCCTATTCTTAATACATTCTTGTTGATATTTATCACTCAGCTGTGGTATGAAATGCCGATTTCTTACAACATAGGCACGTATTTATCAGCCAGATGCCGGCAGCTGCAAGCTGGCTGCGGCTGGGTTGCACCTGCCCATCCATTCTGAGGCCCAGTAGGGCTGTTTCTGTGGTCCTGGAAGAGCGCAGTGAGTTGCTCCAAGTGTAGAGTAATTGTGCTGTCTCCCAAGGCACTGGCTGAGAAGGTCCTAGCACAGAGTCTCATGCCAGGGAGAGGAAGGCAGAATCACTTGGCAGTGGTGGGACCATGTCAACAACTTAACAGGAAAGGACAGTGAAGAATCCAAGACACTGCTCACATCTAATCGCTAGGCAAAATCTGAGGACTGTCTATTACTAGTGTACTTAGTAAATGTGAAATGAATAAAAAAGGAAGGAACCCAGGAAATCTTGTCTGTCTGGATATGCAGGCGCCTTTGGAAATGATCCCACTGAGGATGTGCTTGGCCAGCCCTTTCGTTGTGTTTCCTGGTTAACCGGTGACATCAGAAGTATAAAGACTGTCTTTATTGATGGGACACTTCTCTAGCTTCCTCTTGCCTTTCTGGTGCCGAGGGGAGGGGTCGAACCCAGGGCCTCACACACGCCAGACAAGTGCTCTGCCACTGAGCTACAGCCCTGGCTCTGACTTCCTTCACATCAGATATGGATCCATTTCTTTACCTTCCGGGCGTCAGAGAGAACCCAGTCACACACACTTGAAGGAAACACCACAAAGTGCCAAACAATTCAGCAGGAGTGAAACCCGGACCGTTCTAAGGAAGAGCCACGTTTCCTTCATATGTTCTCAGTAATGTTGGGAAAGTAAGGCCTAGCTCTGGGACCCCTCGTAGTTAAATCGTTTCCTCCTTTGCTTTTACCCTAGCCATACTCCCAGAGTCTAAAGTCTTTTGCCTGAGAGTTCCTAGCCCTCCTGGGACCTCGTCTCGGCCTCCCTTTCCTAGCTCCCCACAGGCTGATGGTCTCTCTCTGCTTTAGCTGCGGAGCCAGAAGGACAGCCCCACGGCTTCCTGTCCAGGCTGTACTTTGCTGTCTGCCTCTGAGCACGTGCTCTCCTCTGCAGGGTCGTGGGAGGCATGTGCTGCCATTACAACAATTCCGTGGTCTCGCCACCAGGTCTCGCGGGAGATAAAGAGATGATTGACACATGAAAGCGTTTGGAGATCAGCGTTAAAGGCCTGGCACTTACCTTTTGGGATGTCTTTGCATTCTTGAACAACTCATTGCTAGAGTTTCTCTCTAACCCCGAACCCGGCGGGATCCGTCACTACTACTTTCCTCTTTATATTCCCCGGCCAACACCAGTCTTCCTCGCTAAACTGCACAGGCCACAAGCGCAGAGCCTTTGGTTGTTTTGTTTCTGGGACCTGGCAGAATAGTCGGCGATCAGTTTGTATTCTTTGGTTAAACAACGTTAAACTAATCGCTTGATATCTTAGGATGTTAGTTTTTTAAATGTGTATAGGTGGATGAATCGGGTCATCTTCAAAGTTTTTAGCAGTTGGATCTGCTTTGTATGAGTGATTCCTGAGGCTGACTGATAGCTGGAACTGGCTACAGAGCATACAGGAATAAACAGCCTCTCAGAGGCCCTGCGAAGCATGCACGTGGGAGAATCAGGACAGGGACATTTTAGTTGGACATAGAGGCGGTGGCTACAGATGTTCGCTGTTCGGTGAGACTCTGAAAATCTTTTAATAAAGATCTGTGGAAAACAAAGGGTTCAGATACAAACGAGGCCTTTAAGGAAAAGCTGAAGAAACAATTAATGTTAAAAATCACTAAAAGAGTTGGGGCTCAGGGGGTAAAGTGTATATGTGGGGCAAGCATAAGGACCTGAACTTGATTCCCCAGTTTTTCTCTCAAAAACAAGGTGGACAATACCTGAGGAACAATGCCCAAGGCTGACCTCTGGTCTGTAGGCTCACTGGCACAAGCACACACATGTACCCTCACTCAAATAAACACACACACATACGTACACACACACACACACACACACACACACACACACACTTGCATGTGTGCATATGTAACACTAAAAATGAATAATAATGGGCTGGGGAGTGGCTCAGTGAGTGAAGTGCTTACTACACGTGGTAGTTTGAAAAGAATGTCCCCCCAGGCCCATAGGGTGTGGTCTTGTTGGAGTAGGTGTGGCTTTGTTGGAGGTGTGTCACTGTGGGGTGGACTTTGATGTTTCAGAAACACAAGCCTGGCCAGTGTGTCACTGTTGCTCCCTGCTGCCTGTGGATCCAGATCTAGAACTCTCAGCTACCTCTCCAGCACCGTGTCTGTCTGCACGCTGCCGTGCTTCCTGCCAAGACGATAACGCACTAAACTCCTGACCTGTAGGCCAGTGCAAGTGAAATGTTTTCCTTTGGAAGTGTTTCCATGGTCATGGTGTCTCTTCACAGCAATAGAAACCCGTAGGCTCTACACCAGCACGAGGACCCAACTCAGATCCTTGAGAAATCCGGGCACCTGGGTGTGCATTTGTAACTGTGCAGGAGGAGATGGGTGCATCCCTAGCTGAAAGGGTAAACTCGAGGCTCAGTGAGGGGACACCCCCCCTCACAAAAGGTAGTTTGATCAGTTCAGCAGGTAAGGGGGCTTGCCATCGAATCTGACAACTTCAGTTCAATCCTCCAGACCCACACGGTACACAGCGAGAACTAACTCCCAAAAGTTGTCCTCTGACCCCAACACGTGCACACACAAGTGAGCACACCTGTCACAAAGCATGTACCCCCATATACACACTAAGAAAATCAGCAAGCGTGGTTAAAATAATGAAAGATGAGCTAAAATAGATGGTACAATTTTAACAAAATGGTCTGAGCATTCAAATAGGTCATTATATAACTATCAGAGGTGATGAGTATATCTGAAAAGATCAGAGGAAGGGGAGCCTTCGTGGGAGACTAGTTAATGGGGCAGAAAGTATTTCATGAGATAGGTGTTATTACAGCTGGGCCTTGAAGGATGTATATAGTTTTGAGGCAATGAAGACTCAAGAAAAGCAATTTGGGGTTTGGCAAAGACAGCTCCATGGATCAAGGCACTTGCCACCAGGCCTTCCCAGTCTGGTCCCCAGAATTCACATGGCGGAAGGAGAGAAAGGACTTCTGTAAGTTACTCTCTGGCCTGCACATGCATTCTGCCATGCGTGCACATACACGCACGCACATGTGCAAACACACGCACGCACGTGCGCGTGCGCGCGCACACACACACACACACACACACACACACACTCAGCTTCAAGGAGCTGACAAGAGGGCAGAGTGGTGGCCTGAGCCTGTGGGTGGAGCAAGAAGGCAGGAACAAGGATCTTGAAGTTTCTATCAATGTAGTTGCAACTGAAGTGGAGAGATAAAGTTGGAAAGCCGCACTGAGGAGAGTCAGGCAGCTCGGAGCTCTTCCTCTTTTGCATCAGGGGCCAGCCGGGAAGCTTGGAATATGCTATCATATTGAATCTTTACAACAACCACAGGAGGTAGGTGCTATTCCTACCACAGGCGTGGCTAATGAGGAAAGTTTCCCAGCGGGTGAGCGGGAGACCATGGACCAACACCACCCCACGGCCTGTAGATGCGCGTGCTATCTCCCTGGGAAATAAAGATCACTCTCCCTCCACAGGGCCTTCAACGCCAAGTTCAGGAGTTTGAACTCTGCTTCCTAAGCCTGGGGATTCACTGAGAAGATTCTGATCAGGAAGTGACAAGGTCAGATATTTTAGACAGAGTGTGTCTGGTAGAAATGGGTGGGAGAGTACAGCAGGAAGCCCCGTGAAGAAGCTATGATAGTGGGGGTGTGGACTGAAGCCCTAATACGGAAGACCAGCCGAGCAAAAGAATGGTCTCAAGAAAAAATAACCGACTGTCTTTCTCACAATATGTGGACTATATCGAGCAGTTATTTGCTGTGATATTGATTCGTTTGTTTTAGAGATAGGGCCTCATGTAGCCCAGGATGCTCTCAATCTATGCAGCCAAAGACGGCCTGGAGCTTTGACTCAGCCCACCTTCACCTCCCAAATGCTGAGGATTTGAGCTTGCACCGCCATTTCTTTTCTTTTCTTTTGCTGATACAAAGCAATTTATTAACAGAAAATAATTTGAGAAGTCCTGTTCACAGATGGCGACCACAATGACCCCCCCTTCCTTCGGGTGCTGTCAGAGGGAATGGGGGTGACATCCTCAATCCGCCCAATCTTCATCCCTGAGCGAGCAAGAGCTCTGAGGGCAGACTGGGCTCCAGGTCCAGGGGTCTTGGTCCTGTTTCCTCCTGTGGCGCGGAGTTTGATATGCAGGGCAGTGATGCCCAGCTCCTTGCACCTCTGGGCCACATCCTGGGCAGCCAACATGGCTGTATAGGGAGAGGACTCGTCTCTGTCAGCCTTGGCCTTCATTCCACCCGTCACCCGGCAGATGGTTTCCTTGCCAGAAAGATCGGTAACATGGACAAAGGTGTCATTGAAGGACGCAAAAATGTGGCAGACACCAAATACATTCTCTCCTTCGGCTACTTGAGGCCCAAGGCTGATGACTTGTTCTTCCTTCTTTTCCTTCCCCCTTGCGAGGTGCCATCTCTGAACGTCGTCTCCGCACCGCCATTTCTATATACAGTGCTGGGAATCGAATCCAGGGCCGCGTTCACGCTAGGTAAGCACCCTACCAGCTGAGCCCTTGGTATTAATGCTAAGTATTCAAACCCAAAAAGACTCTCTAGATTAGGGTTATGGTGTGTCAGCCCTAGTGAAACTTCCAAGGCAAAAGGAGCAGCCTAAATTTATTCCAGTTCCTTTGCCCCAGCTAATCAGGGGCCAGAGTGGTTGAGATCTCCTCTTTGGTAGTTCATCCTTTTTGGACTTGTCGATGGACCTAATCTTGTGACTTCCTGTCATTACAGCGAATCTCCAGGAGTCAAGAACCCAAGCCATGGCTGTCCCAGGATTGATCCAACAGAGCCAACCTTCCCCTGAAAAGTAGATTTAGAACTAGAAGTTTCTTTCTTGCCTTTTTTTTTTTTTTTTTAGAAAAAAAAAAAAAAGAACAGGGTCACGGAACTTAACCTGATCCGCCGGAGGAGCTTTCTGCCTGGAGGATTTAGCTGACGGGTGGAAACTCTTATCACAAGAGATGGGTGTGGATATAGAAGTGGCTGAAAAGGACCAGAGGAGTGTTCCTTGGGGAGCATTCATCTACAAATGGGGTGAAGCCCCGTACCAGGTCTCCGATGGCCCCTCCCACCATCCATCAGGTTATCACCCCAACAAAAGCAGAGGGGGGATAGGGTCCACAAAGTCAGAGTAGAAGAGGCCTGAAAACATAGCCCAGTGGGCTAGTGGATAAAGTGTGTGCGACTGTGAGAGAAAGAGCAAATTCTCAGACTGTTGGCGTGTTGAGTAAGAGGCTAAACCAGAAGGGATGATTAACTGAATTGTTTTTCTACATATTTACAGTTGACAGGCTGAGTGGAAACAGAGCATTCAATTATGAGACCCTGTCTTTAAAAAAAAAAGTTCTCACCCATTTATAGGACCATCATGCTTTGGACCTCACAACCTTTCGATTTGATTCCCAGAGGGAGTGTTTCCTTTAAGTCCCGATTTACTCCTAAAACAACAATTCTCAACTATTCTCTGGGTGTCAGAACTCTGCTAAAACACACAGAGAACGCACAGAGCAGTTTGTGAAGGAAACCTCTGGATTCCTAGGTTTCAAATTCCCGATCTTCTGAAAAGTCACAAAAATTCAAATAATGTACTTACAACAGGTCTGAAGGCAATTACCCTTTGCGTCTAAGCAGCAGTCTGGCTAGAATACATGTTTTTGTCTCCCAGAGGGGTTGCTTTGGAGGAATCCAAACCATGGCGGGAGTGACGGTGTAGGAGGTGTGTTTAGACCACCGTAAGATGGAGAGACGGCTCGGATGCAAAGCACCTGCATCGCCCTCCCAGTGAACCTGAGTACAATTCCCAGTTCAGCTAGGAGTTTGGCTCACAACTGCCTGGAACTCCAGTTCCAGGGCCATCTCAGGTTTCTGTCTTCTTTGGACACCAGTATTCACATATGGCACACTCCTCACACACATACACACACGTTAAAAAATAAAATATAAATATAAAAAATATATACTGGAAAACTATGAGCCAGGCATAGTGCTACCTGCTCTTTCCTCCCAGGTCTTGGGAGGCAGAGGCAAATCAGTCTCTGTGAGTTAAGACTAACCTGGTAGTAGTGAGTTCTAGGCCAAACAAGGCTACATAATGAGACCCTCTCTTTTAAAAAATAAAATCTAATTTAATATTCCATGAATGGGATTTTCATTTCTATACCTGCGAAGGTTACTGGTGTGTGTGTGTGTTTGTGTGTGTGTGTATTTGTGTGTGTGTGTCTGCATCTGTGCACTCACGATATATCATTGCCAGTGGGAAGCCTGGCAGCTGCATCTGATTCTCCAGGTGTCCACCCTCAACTCTAATTCTTCAACAGCTACGGCCTCGGGTCACTTCAGCTGGGCTTAAATTGCCCTAGAAGCCCACCAATCTGGGAGCTGGAGAAAAGGACTTGGCTGCCTTGGGAGGAGTCATAGGAAAGGGGACGGGGTGCTGACTAGGGTGTTCTTTGAGATAGACAGAGGTGGAATTTATTACGATAGTCTCAGAAACAGCCACTGTTAGGAGCAGCTATTTAGCTAATTTAATCCTTAAACTCACCCAGGAAAGGGAAACTTGAGACAGAAAAGCTAATCACTTGTAAGGTCAAATCAATTAACCAATAATTACCAGAGCCTGGGTACAGACTCAGATTGACTCAGGCTCTTGCCACCAGCTAAAATTGCCTTCCCACTTCCTCTTGGCCTGTCACCTGCCTTGCTACACCTCTCCCTGGGAATGAAACCCATTCCATTTGTCTCAGGAAGGACCCGTTCTGAAGGACCAACTGACCGTGGCGACAGGACTAAAGCTCATTTACTTGTCCGTCACTACTCCCCTTCAGGACTGTGGTACATGTCCTCATCGTAAAGAGGCGGTAAGGCTAGCTGCTGCTTTCAACTGTAAAACCCGGTGAATTTTTTTACATCCACTCCCCTCCCAGCAGACAGGCCTCCTGATCTTGTGGCCTCTTCCCAGCTCTCCCCTGCCTTCCGCGTAGGCTTTTCTGACCTGGAGCTAGACATATGCTCCACTGAGACACGTACTGCTTGCTGTCCATCTTCCGCTGGCGTAGCTCATCTTACTCATTCTCTTTCTATATTTTATCAGAACCTATCTGAATTCCTCACATATTTTAAGCCATAAAGTATTCTTGTTTATGAAAGAGTACAATATATGATTTAATTCTTCCATGAGGGACAGCTGTTTGTCCCCATGTTTGGTTGGTTTTTGTTTTTGTTTTTTTTTCATGTTGCAACAAACACTCTTTTGTTTGCTTCCTTGTGTATATGTAGTCTTTAGAAGTGTCCAGAAATGAGACTCCTGAAGCATAGCTGGGCACTGACTGGATGTAGGAAATGATCCCCCACAGTGGTAGTGCCCACACATGCTCCCACCAGCAGTGTGTAAGGGTAGGGTTTCCCACATTCTCATCGATAACCAGCAAGTTTTAGCGTTTTCCAAGCTGACACCATGACTGCATTCCTTGAAGACAGCACACTTTCCGTTCCTTCCACATCATCTCCCCTGATAGTTGTGGATTTCATGAATGCAGAAACCTTGTGTAGCTCAGTTTTATATTCTTCCCATGAAATTTGTTGAGCTCAGTAAGTACACAACAAAGAAATACCAACAAATACATAACAGAATTTATTCACCTTGACTGGGGAGCTGGGGTGCCCCACGAGGGCAGGGATGAAGATTACTGTTTACTCATCTGGGCCGAGAACGTCAGAAGGAATTCCAATAAGCTACAGGGCAGCAGTTGGCCTATGGACCAAACGCCTACACATCTACAGCAGACTAGGAGCAACCATTTGACCCAACTTTTGACCGTTTTGCCTGCACTACTCACAGGCTGTTTGATTATTAGGAGGCACTGTTTCCCAAGGCTCTGGGACCATCTTTTGTAAATACCAAGAGGTCGTCTCTCAATGGAACACTCCCACCCCTGGTTCAGATCTACTAGTAGGCTCTGGGTAGAAGCCCTATGTCCCTTAGACTAGGGTACTGCATGACTCTAGTATATAACACCCCCCCTTCTGTTGCCTCAACAGTCCCTCCAGGGTGACTCATTTTCTAAATAAGCTCCTTGTGGTTTTGGTTTTGACATCACATGTGGAAGAATGAGTAATTTTTAAAGAACAAGAATTATATTGGATCAGAATAAGACACACAGTGCATGTTACTCATGGTTTTAGGTCAATGGGTCAACTCTGGTGACAAGCCCACCAACCTCTCATCCTCTTTCCCCTTGGCTAGGTTTGTATATACCTTATTATGTGGTTACCCTATGAAAATTTGATAAAATTCTTTTCTTTTCTCTTTCTCTTCTTCTTCTTCTTCTTCTTCTTCTTCTTCTTCTTCTTCTTCTTCTTCTTCTTCTTCTTCTTCTTCTTCTTCTTCTTCTTCTTCTTCTTCTTCTTTTAACAGGGTTTCTCTGTGTAACAGTCCTGGCTGTCCTGGAACTCATTTTATAGATCAGGCTGCCCTTGAACTCACTGAGATCCACCTGCCTCTGCCTCCCAAGTGCTGTAACTAAAGGTGTGCGACACCACCACCCAGAAAAACTATTTCTTATCGACCCTGCAAGATTAAATAAAATACAGTTAAGTGATTAAGGCCATATGCCCTACTGTGCTATTGCTTGGCTTTCTCTTTGTAGTGCGCATGTGTGTATGCTTCTGCGTGTGTGAACACATGTATGCAGGTGTGCATACATATGCGTGAACACATGTGGATGCCTGAGGATGACTCCGGATGTCTTTCTTCTTTGTTCTCCATGTTATATATTGAGAGAAGGTCTCTGGCTGAATCTAGAACTGTCTGAGCTAGTCAGGGTAGCCAGTTTGCGCTGGGGATTTCCTGTCTCTGACTCCCACACTCTGGGATTATAGGCAGGCTACCATGCCTACCTGGATTTTCTTTCCTCTCATGAAATCTGAGGATCCAAACATTGGTCTTCATACTCGTGTATCAGGGGCTGTACCCAAGGAGCCACATTCAGAGCCCCCATTGTTTGGGTTTAGATCTTAGTTCCACCGCATGGCCAACTGGACGACCTTCAACAAGTTACTGGATTTTGGAGCACTGTCATTTCTTCAAACAAGGCCTAAGATGTGTGGCCCTTCCCCTTCACCATCTCCCTGTGTGTATCTAAATTCCTTTCCCATAGCTCATGGCTTTAGACCAGACCCCTTTGTATGTTTACATCCTCAAGTAATCATTTCCATTGGTATATATGTGTGTTTTGGATCTAATAGCTTCTTTGGATCTTCATTTGTCTTATGAAGACACACAAGTAGGTATAAAAACAGAATGCATATGCTGACCCAGGATGCAGGCAGAGGGACAGTTCTTGCCTAGTGTGAGGCAGGCCCTGAGGCCCTGGGTTCCTTCGAGAGAGGGGGGGGGGTGGAGAGAGAGAGATTGATTCCGATTCTCCTTGTCATTTGTTTGGCTGTCTGTGCCCTCAGTGTCTAAGTATTTGTAGTGTGCAAGGAGGGATGGAAGGACATCATCTGTCACGTGCCATTCTTGTCTTGCCTGCTTCAGTCCTTAGACTCTACAACACGGGATAGATGTGACTCAGAAAGGGGACCTGGTACCACTGAAATTCATTCTCCAACCTCCTGGAACTCCTGCTTGTGAGCAGGGGTTCGACAGTGGCATTTTAAGGAACGTTAACATGTTGAATTCGTATCACATACAGGGAATTATGTAGCTAAAATGCTAACACATTGATTCTTCTTAAACGTGAAATTTATCTCCAGAGCATTGTCTTTGGAAACTTCTTCAGGGAATTGTGAGGACGTCGGATAAAATCCCCCAGAGCCCATCCCAGCAGCAGCCTTCCTGCCCCCTGAACTACAGCTGGGGGACCTCATCCACCAGAGTCAGTTGCTTCTGTCTTGTTGGCCCTGCCCTGGGGACTGTAGCTGAGGATACTGATGAAAGACTGGGAGTGGGCCCGACTTGGCCGGTATGCAGGCAGGGGTGTGATGCGCAGTAGAGTCAGAACTGACTCAAATGGGTGGAAATGCCAAGCTGTTGGTGGAAAGCCGGTGGTTCTAGGACAGACAGATCCACTGGGGA